CACACACACACACACACACACACACACACACACACACACACACACACACACACACACACACACACACAGTGAGGACGTGCTAACAGGCTGTAGGTCCACATTTGGAAAAGCAGCATGAAAATCCACAGATCTGTGTCCAGCCGACTCAGAAAACGTCTCTGAGCGACACAACAAGGGAGCCATTCCAAACGTAACTCTGGTAACAACTGCTCCACCCCCTCCCCCTCTCCTCTAAAAGCCTCGGCACATTTTATTGCTCTYGACCCCAGTCTGCATAGAGGCTGAACATCGGTGTAGTTTGCGCATAAACTCACCCCCACCACAAGCCTACAACTGCTTAAATCCAACGTGCGCCACAATCACAATTTACACAATATTTCATACTCGCAGTTTAAAGTGGAGGAGCAGGGAGAAGCCWGGTGGAATGGTGATTAGGGGCCTGAAGTTTATGGGCTGTAAGCAGCTGCTAGTTTTACTGCCGCTCTTTCACACAAAGCAGCTTCGATGCAGCGTTTGGACGATTTGCATCGAAGCTGCAAAGATAAACTTCCTCAACTGCGAGTTGAAGCGGTGGAGGTTTCACGGCCTCTTCTGTTAATAATTATCAAATAAACAAATGCATAAAAGTGAACATCGGCTTAAAACATCCTGGGTTTTTTYCCCTCTTTTTTTTTAGTTTGTTAMATTAAACAGATGTGGTTTTGACTTTCCCAGGTGCTCAGCAGTCCCCACCTGTGGCGGCGCAGGACTTAACATCCGTCTTTAAAGCAGGATATCTGGAGAAACGCAGAAAAGGTTGGTGCTTTACTGATTAAATCTTTTTTAAGTGAACTCTAATTACCTCACAAACTGAAATGTGCTAAATAAGCTAGCTAGAGGTAATAGTTGCTATAAGCTAAATTTTGGCATAAGGTTAGCTAAAAGTAGTAAAGAGATAGCTAAAAGTAACAAAATGGGAGTTAAAAACTCAATTTTGGCCTAAGGTTAGCAAAAACTATCCAAAAGCTACAATGGTAGCAAAAAACTATATTTTGACATAGTAGAATATGTAGCAAAAGGGCTAGAATAAAGTAGCAAAATGGGAATTCATGGCTTATATTGGTCTGGTAAAAGTAGCAACAATCTTATGATAAACTAAAAGTAGCAAAATAAATAAACTAATAAAAAAAAACCTTTGTATAATCTAAAGCACATGTGTCAAACTCAAAGCCTGGGCCAGAAGGGAGTCTAAACCTTTTTTTTTACTTGATATGAAAATAAGTTCCTTATATCAATGTTAAACTTTAAATTTATGATTCAATGCAACAAAATAAACAAATTTAAAAGGTGAAAGATAATAATACTTGTCCTGCCCATGAGCTGTCGGCTATAAGTAACTGAGCAATTTAGCAGAGTAATAATAC